GCGCGAGTTCGTCGAGAAAGTTGGGAGGAGAGCAAAAAAACAGGGAATGAGGGGGGAGGGGCAAGGGAGCGAAGGAAACGCTTGCCCGCAAAGCCCACGATTTTGAAAAACTGCGTTCGCCCACGAACGCAGGTAGCAAATAGCAATCAATACATCAATCAAACCAGGTATTTTTTGTTTACGTGCGTCGCAGATCTGGTCTGATCTGATTTGTGGTCGCAGATTACAAATGCTTTGTCTGATATTTATTTGAATCATGTTTGTGAGAAGGTTTATCAGATCTGAGTCCCTTCGATCAAAAGTATAATTGGAGATCGAGCAGTGGAGACTAGTGAAGGCCAATTTATTGGGAATGACGGGTTGCGTATCTGACTGGAAAAAATGGACTGTTTGTTGGAGATAACATCAACGTAAATCAGAACATCGAGTACTAGACACTAGCTAGAGCCGCCATGGACAAGTGATTAGAAATTGAGCGGCATGTATTCTAGTGAACTTTTCGACACTGGCTGGCCTATGGAGAGCAGCTGCTCTGCAAAACTCATAGCCGGCGGAGTGAATTGTTCCGGACAAATCATTCCTTTGCGACGCTTTGACAAGGTTCCAGATGAGATAAAGCCACATAACCATAACGTTAAAATTTTAACTCAACTGTAAAGAACAACAAATTCCGCAGCAATCGCTTAGAGATTCAACCTTCTTTTATAGTAAAGCTTCTTTTTATTACAGTTTTGCAATCGTGTGGAACGTGTTTTAGGGAAAAAAGTAAATTTTACAAATCTGGTAATCTATTCGTTATCTATCTTGACGAGCTGTCAATTTACAAATGAACCGAACCGTGAAATATCAAGGGGCATTTTCCAGAATCGTGGGGTTTGCGGGCAAGCGTTTCCTCTTCTCCCCTCCCCCTTCCCCTTCCATTTTTTTTTTTTTTTTGCTCCCGCTCTAACTTTCGCGCTATAACTCGACTGGAAACGCTTGCTACGCAGGCTACGGAAAAAAGAAAGGGAAGATATACTCACAGTTGACTGGCTTTGGAAAGCGGGGTTTTTCACCTGTATATGTACTAGAAAAATTCTCTTTAAAATATGAAGGGCAGTGTAAATTTCATTGATAATGGTACGGTGACGATTACCCTTACACTGATAAAACTGAATAAAGTACTTTTTGCAACACAAGTCCTGTTGTTTGACAAGTAAACGAGATTTTCACTGTCATCTTGGGCGGGCTTTTGATAGGCCTAAACAGGACAGAAGCATATTTTGTTGTTCTTGATTTTCGTACATTGTCTTTTATTCGGCCCTACTAGACTATGGGTTGGTCCGTTGACTAACTGATCGTTCGGAGCATGTTATGAAGGAATACGTAAACTTAGACAACTGGAAGAAAGCATCTTAGAAATCCTAATCAAGGTTATTAAGACTAAAAAACAAGTTTTCCACCTTTGGTAAAACAATTTTAGTCCTTAACACGGTTCATTACTCCGGTGTTCGAAATTACAACCTACACTGTATGTAGAAACGTTTCTCTGTCGATAGGGCAGTTCGAAAAAGGCTCACGGTTGAAAAGGTTAGAATACAACCTTTTCGCCAGACTGCCAATGTTCTATCCTGTTGAAGCAACAGAAAGAGTGAACACGAATATACTTTCAAAGTCATGTGATTATTACGGTACGCAGTTCTTGTGGGTTTAGGTTTTCCAAAGCGTCTTTTAATGCCCTGACATCTTCATTCATAACGTTTTAAAACCTTGGCGCCATTTTGGTCCTTTAAAGGCATATGGAACGTTGCCATAGCTATTTTGTAATTTTGTACCAAAATTATTATCAAGAGTTACTGTAATTTGTCACCCATGTGTTAGAAGAGAAGTAACTAGCCCCTAGCTAGCTTTATGTTTTAACCTATAATAAAAATCGTTACATCCAAAAAGAACCTTGTCGTAAATTCATTCTACAACTTAATAACTTATCAAAAGGCAAAATTTTGGCAGTACAAATTATCTCAACTACCATTAGAGATTATTAGAATGTTATTAGAACGTGTTTGTTGCCTGTTTGTAGAAGACGGAACTTAATCCCATGTTAAATGAACTGTACCATTTATTTTGGGCTATAATGCCCTATCAAGTAGATTTTCAGAATGATTTAATTCTTTATCCCTCCCGCCTTAGAAAGCTTGAACAAGTCGTGCAGGCTTCATGCGATCTTTATTTCGAGCAGAGTTCTATTATTATTTGATAAGACAATTTTGGCGGCGGAAGTCTACTAGCGTGTAAATCCAACTTAAATTTAAGACAAAAGGTTCTTCATTTGCATTTCTAATGATAACGAAATGCAATACAAGATTGTCTTTGTGTGCATGTTGAACATAAAATTCATCCAGTTTAACAATTTATTCAACGTCAGCTATCAATCAAAAGTATTTAACCGAATTTTTATATCTTATTCCGCAGAGATACTACAGAGAAAGAAGAGAAAAAGTTGGCAACATGTCTCCGTTCA